AATAAGCACTATTGCATGTCATCCGTTAGATCTTCTCAGAATACGATATTCCGGTTAGTTAATAGTTAATACTAAAAATACGAACATCTGATTGGTGGCTTCACCGGTGGTATAATAAGCACTATTGTATGTCATCCATTAGATCTTCTCAGAATACGATATTCCGGTTAGTTAATAGTTAATACTTTTTTTAAAAATATGAACATCTGATTGGTGGCTTCACCGGTGGTATAATAAGCACTATTGCATGTCATCCATTAGATCTTCTCAGAATACGATATTCCGGTTAGTTAATAGTTAATACTTTTTTTAAAAATATGAACATCTGATTGGTGGCTTCACCGGTGGTATAATAAGCACTATTGCATGTCATCCATTAGATCTTCTCAGAATACGATATTCCGTTTAGTTAATACTTAATACTTTTTTTAAAAATATGAACATCTGATTGGTGGTTTCACCGGTGGTATAATAGGCACTATTGCATGTCATCCATTAGATCTTCTCAGAATACGATATTCCGGTTAGTTAATAGTTAATACTTTTTTTAAAAATATGAACATCTGATTGGTGGCTTCACCGGTGGTATAATAAGCACTATTGCATGTCATCCATTAGATCTTCTCAGAATACGATATTCCGGTTAGTTAATAGTTAATACTTTTTTTTTTTTAAAAAAAAATGGTTAAACATGTAATTCATTGAGTTTTTTTTTTTTTTTTTTTTTTATTGAATCTGTTACAAATCAATGTATATGTAAATCAAAATTTACGTTCTCCATTCATTTTATTTTATTCTGTAATATTTTGCCTTTTTTTATTTGAATAAATTTCATTATACATACATAGATCTAATATGTGTATGTATATTATGTGATTAGTTCACCAAATCATCTAATTCTCGAGTATTTGTATTAGTTCAGCAAATCATCTAATTCTCGAGTATTTGTATTAGTTCAGCAAATCATCTAGTTCTCGAGTATTTGTATTAGTTCAGCAAATCATTTAATTCTTGAGTATTTGTATTAGTTCAGCAAATCATCTAATTCTTGAGTATTTGTATTAGTTCAGCAATCATCTAATTCTCGAGTATTTGTATTAGTTCAACAAATCATCTAATTCTCGAGTATTTGTATTAGTTCAGCAAATTATCTAATTCTCGAATATTTGATGTAATAGTGAAATTTTAATGCATTATACATGAATGTTTTCTTTTGTGTGCTATTGTGGTACATTTCATTTGCATATGCATTGTTTCAAATGTGATGAATGTAAGGAGTTCTAGCTATACTTCATGATGTAATCTCAAATTTGACAACTTGAAAATATATATGAGTGCAAATATACAAGTGCTGTTTTACTTAGAGTGCTTAAAATATACGCATGAAAGTTTTGAATTTTATACATCAAGTTTTATTATACAATAATCTATTGTATAGGATCAGTAACATAATTGAGTATTTTAAGGTAGATTTTAGAGTATCAAAATCTGATTCTTCCGCTCTTGTTTTTTTGAAAAATTTAGCAAATTTTTTTTTAGCAATCGGAAGAACTTATAAAATCTACCATTTTATGTTAAGCATACATTCTAAGATTGGTATTAGCAACAATTTTATTACATATTTCATTGTTTTATGATATCTGATAGATTATCATTGCAGCTAATGATGGTAATCGTCAACGTCCACAATATCGTAATTATTGGCATGCAGCGCGGAGTATTATACAATCTAAAGGATATAAAGGTTTGTATCAAGGTCTATCACCGAATTTGGTTGGATCCGCTGTATCTTGGGGACTTTATTTTCAGTTGTAAGTTTAATTCTTGTTGAAATGCTTTTTTTAAACTGATATGATCTTAACAGCATTCATGTTTTTCGTTATGCTCAGGTATTCGCTGAAAAAAAACTTTAAATTTAGGAATGGTATTATGTTAATGCAACAAACTATGATTTTCATTAGCATTTGAAATGTTTCAAGATTGCTTATAATTAATAAAGATCACATTTCATGTCTTGCACCTTTATGATTAAGTTTTAGTTAATATTAAATTGATTAAGGTAAATTAGCAGTTGTAGTTTTATTTGTTGAACGTTGCGAAAAATATCCAGAATTATACTTTTTGATATTGCAATAAATTTTAGGGATATAGAATGTTATCCATTAAATCCGAATTAAAGTTCCATTAGTCTTTTTTTTTTTTAGTATAATTAAATTGTTTTATTATAGCTATCATATTATCAAAAGATTATGTGTTGAGAAAACTATTTCAACCGGAGCAGAACCGGTGGATAATGTCCTGATGGGAATGGTTACTGGAGCTGGTATTTTACTGTTCACTAATCCCATTTGGATGGCAAAAACTCGATTATGCTTACAATATGAAAATGAAAGAATCAGATATCGAGGACTTTTGGACTGTATTTCTACAGTTGCTCGTAATGAAGGAATTACTGCGTTATACAGAGTTTGTCCTTTTTTCACTCTTTTTCTTTTTATTATTTGTTTAAATGTTTTAAATTTTTTCATCACAATTCATGACCAAAAGAAAATGCTTATTAAAAAAAAAAAAAGGCTGAGAAGAAATAATTTAAACCAATAGGTATAAAGATTTAAATTTTTATTTAAATCTTGGAGGAAAAATTACCAAAATTTTTAACGTTTATGAGGATATAACTTTCTATTCTGATAATTTTTGTTAGCAGAATGTTGAGGATAAAGGAATGATTAGAAAAAAAAAAAAAAGAATTTCATTTGATTGTGATTCGTTGCTTTATTTAAGCATTTTTTAGGCCAAATTAGTAAGGCTTCCTGAAGTGATAATGCCATAGAGTAAGTAAGGTTCAGGTAATGATATGGATAACTTGTTGGATAGTAGCACATTACGGATTAACTGAAGAAATGAATATTTTATGAAAGTTATGAATTTTTGTAGTGAATTTTAGTTGTTGTTCAGGTAATGATATGGACAACTTGTTGGTTAGTAGCACATTACGGATTAACTGAAGAAATGAATATTTTATGAAAGTTATGAATTTGTAGTGAATTTTAGTTGTTGTTCAGGTAATGATATGGACAACTTGTTGGATAGTAGCACATTACGGATTAACTGAAGAAATGAATATTTTATGAAAGTTATGGAATTTGTAGTGAATTTTAGTTGTTGTTCAGGTAATGATATGGACAACTTGTTGATAGTAGCACATTACGGATTAACTGAAGAAATGAATATTTTATGAAAGTTATGAATTTGTAGTGAATTTTAGTTGTTGTTCAGGTAATGATATGGATAACTTGTTGGATAGTAGCACATTACGGATTAACTGAAGAAATAAATATTTTATGAAAGTTATGGGGAATTTTTGTAGTGAATTTTAGTTATCAAATGATTGATAACGCATATTTTTGTAGTAGGATATTTCCTTTCATTCTTTATATCAATTGCATTGGCTTATTTTTTCAAGTATTTTAGGGTTTTACACCAGGAGTTATTGGAACCATACATGGTGCAATCCAGTTTATGCTTTACAATCGTTTCAAGGACAATCGATTAAAACGTTTAGATCTACCTGCTAATCATATTTTGGTTTGTTTTCATATATTTCTTCTATGTAACAAATTCTTAATACGATTCTCAATCGCTTTCTGATCGATTCCAAATTCTAAACCTATTTAATAAATGTTTACAGCAGTTTTTGGACCTATAGCAAAGATGGTGCCAATAATTTGATCGTTTATTGTTAATAGTAGTTATTGCAAAGGAATTATAATGCATTTGGAGTATTCAATTTGCATGGGGAATTAAGAAATTTTGTTTTTTTTTTCAGAGTACTGTTGATTGCTTGGTATATTCAGCTGTATCCAAAGTAATTTCTACAACAATAACATTCCCATACCAAGTGCTACGAACTCGATTACAGGTAAATATTAGTAATAATTTTTAATTATTATAAGTAAATGAAAGTTCAAAGTATGTTAAGGTTAGTTTTTGTTATTTTTTTTTTTTTTTTCATATTTATTTTTATAATATAGAAACAGTTTTATATTTATAGGATCATCATGCACAATATAATGGAATATATGATTTGATAAGCAAAACATATAGAATGGAAGGTGTACGTGGATTTTATAAAGGTTTACTCATGGGCAACTTACGTCAGCTACCAAACGTTATTGTTACATATGTAACCTATGAGAATGTAAGGTATCTTGTTCGTCATCTTTCTCAGTGAAGTTCTTATATGTGCAATTACTTTGATCTAACTACCTCATGATGTCTTCCATTAATTTATTTATTTATTTATTTAATTGTACGATATTTATTAATCCTTCATATGATATTACTTATAATGTGTTGTTTTCGTAGACAGTGATAGAAGAAGAGAACAAAAATGCAACAAAATTTTTTCATGATGGATTAAAAATTTATCTGAAATTTTTCAAAATAAATGAATAAAGCTAATTTTAACTAATTCAAGTGAATAAAGCTAATTTTAACTAAACTACACCACAAGCATTATTTTTCCTGAGTACAGTTTTTCTTTCTTTTTTTTTTTTTTTTTTTTCTTATCAAATAAAATGGCTTTAGTTGTATAAATTTTGCTAAAAAGCTTTTATAAACGATTATCGGAAATCATAAAAATTTCAACAAATTTATTCCAAAGGATTTGGATGTTAAATGTCATTAAGGATATTTCCGATCAAACAGTTATAATCATTCATTCTTATATAACTAAAATTAGTTAAGTAGTTAAGCAGGAAAAAACTTTTTTGTAATTTGACTTATAAATTATTAACACTTCTAAATGCTTCATATCATACCTTTTTTTTTTTCCTTTTTTTTTTTAGATATCAATTCAATTTAAGAAAATAATATTTGGAAAAAATGGCTTAAATTGATTAAACAGATTGCTTCTCAACTTTTATTTGCAATGATTTATAGAAATCTTTAAATAGCATTTATTTAAAAATTATAAATGCATATAAATTAATGAGCAAAATTTACAATGATAATGATGCTGTTGTTTGTGTCCATTTTGCTATAAATTGTAATACATCGCTTATATTTTCAGTTGATTTTGTCTTTTGTGCCATAATGAAACAACTCCATGTATCACGATCGGCTACTCTACCAGATGATCCAAATTCTTTAACATTTCCATATGTTGGATAACCTTTAATAAATTTTAAAAATATTTTATCATTATCAAAAAAAAAAAAAAAAAAAGGAGAAATTTTTCCATATGTAAAAAATTTAATTTTATCAAGTAGTGATTATAACATACATAAATAATATTTTGTTAAAAAAAAAAAAAAAAAAAAATGTTTTTATTGTTAAAATAAAATAAACAAAAAAAAAAGAGCAAAAAAAAACCTGAAATAAGACATGCTGGATGAGATATACCATTTGCATCAAATAAGCTTACTTCAAAATTACCATCATTATCATAGGGTAAATTTCGTTCTATACTTTGCTCCATCGAAATTGCTAACACCCATTCTTTTACTTCTTCATATTCATCATCCTCAAATTGCTCAAATTATATGCTATATACTTTTTAGAGAATTTTAGAAATGAAAAGTTAAAAATTTAATAATTTTATTTTTCAATAACAAAAGAAAAATATAAGAATTAATAGAGCTAAAAAAGAAAAATAGAATAACAATTATTTATTTTGCTAAACAAAAAAAAAAATGCTTTTAATATTAAAATAAAATTAACTCTATTAATTCTCTAAAAAAAAAAGAAAAATTGGTATGAAATACACTTTACAGATGTATATTTTGTTGCAGGAAGTAATATTTGTTGTGGTATATCAGTGCCATCAAAAATGGAGCAATCAATAGCTGATGGATTTTGATCATCAATTGCATCACATAAATCAAGATAATGATTTAAAAGTATAAATGCTAAGCGTTCTTTTGTGGTACCCAATTTCTATGATAAAAAATAAATATACATTTTTTTTTTTTTTTTTTTTAATTTATAAATTTGCTATTTTTGTTTAAAATATAATCAAAATTAATTAGACATATTTTTTTTGGTATAATCATTGAAATATTTATTTGTTTTTATCGGGATTAGTACGAAAGGAAAGTTATATTTTTGAATTGATAATAAAAAAATTAAAATGAAATAAAAATTTAACATCATTATTAACAATAGTATTAAAATTAGGAATATCTTCACAATTAATTTAGCTAATTTAACTATATTTTTTAATTTATAAATTTGCTATTTTTGTTTAAAATATAATCAAAATTAATTAGACATATTTTTTTTTTTTTGTATAATCATTGAAAAATTTATATTTTTGAATTTGATAATAAAAAAAAATTAAAATGAAATAAAAATTTAACATCATTATTAACAATAGTATTAAAATTAGGAATATATTCACAATTAATTTAGCTAATTTAATTATATTCAAACTTATTGTTGATTGATTTAAAGATTGCTAAGTTCTTTCCTTTTTTTTGTAGAAAGAAATTATAGTAAAGTTTATTATTTAAATATCTTAAATAATTAAAAAAAGAAAATAAAATAAAATAAAGATATTATGTTTGAATTAAATTAAAAATAAATGATTAAAAAATTAGACAAACTCTGCATGCCATCCCAGCTTCATAAAAACTTTATCAGCTTGCATAATATCACTATAACGAATAAAGCTTATCGTAATTTGAGCTACAATACGTTCTATTTCTGTTCCAGTATATTCGAGAATAGCTGAACGTAATGCACCATAATGAGCAATCTCCAAATATCTATTAAATAACTGAAATATTGAAAATTATTCGATAATAAAATTACTTATTATTTATTCTATAATCATTATTCTCTTATCATCTCCTGAATATAAGTAAGATAATCCCAAGAACTTTATTTTAATTATTCGCTTATCATCCTAAGATATTACTTTAATTATTCTCTTATCATCTCCTGGATATAAGTAAGATAATTCTAAAACATTACTTTATTCTCTTATCATCTCCTAGATATATATAATTCTAAAACATTGTTTTAATCTCTTATCATTTCCTGGATATAAGTAAGATAATCTTCAAGCTGTACTTAATTATTCGCTTATCATCCTAAGATATTACTTTAATTATTCTCTTATCATCTCCTGGATATAAGTAAGATAATTCTAAAACATTATTTTGATTATTCTCTTATTACCCTAAGACATTACTTTAATTATTCTCTTATCATCTCCTGGATATAAGTAAGATAATTCTAAAACATTATTTTATTCTCTTATCATCTCCTAGATATATATAATTTAAACATTGTTTTAATCTCTTATCATCTCCTGGATATAAGTAAGATAATCTTCAAGCTGTACTTAATTATTCGCTTATCATCCTAAGATATTACTTTAATTATTCTCTTATCATTTCCTGGATATAATATAATTCTAAAACATTGTTTTAATTATTCTCTTATCATCTCCTAAATATAAGTAAGATAATTCTAAAACATTATTTTAATAAGTAAGATAATCTTCAAGCTGTACTTTAATTATTCTCTTATCACCCCAAGACATTATTTTAATTATTCTCTTATCATTTCCTGGATATATATAATTCTAAAATGTTGTTTTAATTATTCTCTTATCATCTCCTAAATATAAGTAAGATAATTCTAAAACATTATTTTAATTATTCTCTTATCATATCATCCTAAGGCATTACTTTAATTATTCTCTTATCATCTCCTGGATATAATATAATTCTAAAACATTATTTTGATTATTCTCTTATCACCCTAAGACATTACTTTAATTATTCTCTTATCATCTCCTGGATATAATATAATTCTAAAACATTATTTTGATTATTCTCTTATCACCCTAAGACATTACTTTAATTATTCTCTTATCATCTCCTGGATATAAGTAAGATAATCTTAAAGCTGTACTTTAATTATTCTCTTATCACCCCAAGACATTACTTTAATCATTCTCTTATCATTTCCTGATATATATAGTTCTAAAATATTGTTTTAATTATTCTCTTATCATCTCCTGGATATAAATAAGATAATTCTAAAACATTATTTTGATTATTCTATTATCACCTAAGACATTACTTCAATTATTCTCTTATCATTTCCTGGATATATATAATTCTAAAATATTGTTTTAATTATTCTCTTATCACCTGATATAAGTAAGATAATCCCAAAACTGTACTTTAATTATCCTCTTATCTCCTGGATATAAGTAAGATAATCTTGATAAGGATATAAATAATATATTCTCGATAAGATAAATATAATTATTTTTAATTATATTTATCAATTAAAGAATTTAATTGTACAAATGCAAATTATCAGATAATTTAAATGTAACTTTAAGTAATAAAATATATTACTTTTAATGATAAGTAAAAAGATGAAAATTTTTTTATTTTTTACCTCTTTTTGCTTCTCTTAGTATTCATACCATTACATACCATAAGAAGAACATTTCGTAAAGTTGCCCATTTTCTATAAACGTTTGGATTGTTCATATTACGTACGTTAATAACCTTAAAATGTAGTATTTGAGTTAAATATTAAAAGTAATTTAATTTTTTAATTCATTTTTTTTTTTAATTGCATTTATAAATATTCAAAATTCTAACCAATGTTTGTTTATGATTTCAAATTTTCAAAATAATTACACTTCAAAGAAATTCCATTTTAATTAACAGACAGATTCAAATAATTTATTATAATTAGGAAATGAAAAAAAAAAAAAAAAAAAATTAAAATCTCGCAATACTTCTTAGTTTAAATTCAAAATTTTAAGTTCAAAAATTCAGAAATGAATTATCTTACAAATTGAATGAATTTTCAAATAAAATAAGAGATATATTAAAGATTGATCAACTATTATTACATTTAATCATTCAATTAATTTCAGATATTAAAATTAAAGTAGTAAAATAATAATAATAATAATAGTAATAATAATAATAATAATAATAAAATTACATTTAATTAAAATCTCGCAATACTTCTTGGTTTAAATTCAAAATTTTAAGTTCAAAAATTCAGAAATGAATTATCTTTTACAAATTGAATGAAATTTCAAATAAAATAAGAGATATATTAAAGATTGATCAACTATTATTGCATTTAATCATTCAATTAATTTCAGATATTAAAATTAAAATAGTAAAATAATAATAATAATAAAATTACATTTACAGGTGTTCAATTTGAAATTATTGATTTCTTCAGTTGATTTCATTTTCAATTTTATAATTTTGAATATATAAATATGCACACTTCTCAAAATTAATACTTATCAAATATTCTCGTAAAATTATCAGTCTATTTTAATTTAAATTGAAAATATTTATAACTTTTTGTTTTTTTTAAATAATTTTTCATACTTTAAACAAATGAAATTAATTTAAACAAAATTAATTTTCATTAAAAAAATTGAAAATTTTCACTTACTTCTTCAATAAGTCTTTGATAAATGTTAAAATTGTTAGAATTTGAAGATGCACCATATTTTTCAAATGTAATCAATGCTTCATCATATTTCATTTGTTTAATTAATTCGGTTGCATATAATGCGACATATTTATCCAACAATGGTTGATGCTACAAGTAATTTTCTTTATCAAATATACAGTAAGTAAGTAAGTAAGTAAATAAGTAAGTAAATAAATAAGCGTAGAATTTCTAAGTAAGTAAACGTAGAATTTCAAATTTAATTTTTTATAAAAATTAGCAAAAATTGTTGAAAAAAGAATAAAAAAAACAGGGTGTAATTTTATTATAATTTAAGTGGTATTAATTAAAGAACAATTGAAATATTTAATAAATTTAAGTCTTTTTTCTTTTTTTTTTTAAATATCTATCAATAAAACTTATCTTTCTTTAAATTTTAAACCCCAAAAAAAAAAGAAGAAAACTTTAAAAATTGGGAAAGAAAAAAGAATTGAACAAAAAATCCTTTAAAATTCTTTTCCATTTCTTTTCCTTTAAAATTAATAAAATCAATTGATTAAAAATTTGTTTAATTTTGTAAATTTTTTTTTTCCATAGCTAACTAAAATTTTGATAATTTATGCTAATGAATATAGCAAATTTTTGAATTTTTTAAATTTGTAATTTCTATAACAATTTTTTAATTCAACAACAAATGTAATATTACATTTGCTATTATTTATTTTAATAATATCTCTTTTCTTTTTTTTTTTTAAATTAGTTTAATAATTTCGAGATTATATTATTTTTTTTTTTCATATATTTCATATGGAAATTAATAACTAACTTTTTGTTGATGTGCTATTTCAAGCGCTTTTTCCCACTGACCATGTTCCAGTAGTGCGTCAATAGCGCTAACAATATCAACATCCATTAATTCACCTAATCGACCTTGCTGTTTCAATGATTCCCGGTATTTTTCATCCACAAAATCGGCTAAATCCGGAACAAATTCGATAGCTAACTAAAATTTTAATAATTTATGCTAATGAATCTAGCAAGCAATTACAGCATATGTAAAAATTAAAGTAATAATTATTTTACTTTTTTAGCTTTTGACCATTGTCCACCAAGCAAGAATGCTTTAATAGCATTATCCGGTTGATTTGATGCCAAAAATAATTCAGCTGCTTCAATAAACCTTTAACAATAATTATAAAATTTTAAAAAAAAAATCATTTAAAAAAAAAGTCATTTAAAAAAATTTTTTAAAAAAATCATTTAAAAGAATAATATCACTTTTCATCATTTAAAAAAAAATTAAAATAATATCACTTTTATGAAATATAACTATCATAATTTTTCAGTTTTGAAAATATTTTAATTTTAATTTAAAAATTTTAAATATTCAATTTTTGATTATGTTTTAATTTTATAATTAAAAATTATTATATAAGCAAATTTTAATAATTCTGCTAATATTTCAATTATTACTATTATAGAAAGCATGTTAATATAAACTTATTAAAGAAATAAAAAAAAATGTTAACTAATTTCTTCAATTTTTTTTTTTTTTTTTTTAAATGAAAATTCAACAAACTATTTTAGTAATAAACTATTTTTCACCGTTTCAAATGAATGAAAATTTCTGCAATTTCATCAACAATTGCAGAAGTTACATCATCTGAGAGAAATTTTATTGCTAATTCTCCAGCCTGAAAAAAAAATAATAATAATAATAAATAAATAAATAATAATTTCTTAGTAATAATAGCAAAGTTTTTTTTTTTTTTTTTGAAATAAAATTTTAATGAAAAGCAATTTTGATATTGAAATAGAAATATTTGAACAAATTTTAATCATTTAACAACAACGAGCATTTTCCTCTTATATACTCAACAATTTTATTAAATTTAAATTCTATTCGAATTTTAGATTTAATAAAATTTTAATTCTAACTGAGCATTTTGGACAAATTATAGTCATCAGTAAAAATGATAGAAGAAAATGGAAATTTTTTTTGTAATTGGATATATGATAAGATAAAAGATAATTGTTATTAATTAATTTCAATAAATAACATTAAATGCAAAATAAAATAATATTAACTTTTATTAAGTCCATTTGAATTTAAATTTAGTAAAATTTAATTCTAACCAAACTTTTGAATAAATTATGATTGAATTGATGATTTGGTGATAAAGTAGGCAAATTTCAGTAAAATGATAAAGGAAAGTGGAAATTTTTTTTGGAAATTTTATATGATAAGAGAAAGGATAATTTTTAAATTAATTTTAATAAATAAATGCAAATTAAAATAATATTAACTTTTATTAAGTCCATTTGAATTTAAATTTAGTAAAATTTTAATTCTAACTAAACATTTTGAATAAATTATGATTGAATTGCTGATTTAGTGATAAAGTAGTCAAATTTATGATAAGAGAAAGATAATTTTATTAATTAATTTCAATAAATAAATGCAAATTAAAATAATACTAAATTTTATTAAATATTAATGTTTATACCCGTTTTAAAGCATTTACAACTGTATCAGTATCAGCTGTCTCTGAATCCTTTACTTTTAGATAGCATTGAATAGCTCGAATATATTCACCTTCACTTTCCCAATCTCGTGCTTGTGCAATAAATGATAAAATACCTTTTGCGCCAGATTTTAGCTGTACTTGATCAAATTCCTCCTTAATAATAATATTTACAAATTATCATGATTTATTTAATTTATTTATTTAATTTATTTTTATTTATTTAATTTATTTTTATTTAATTTTTGATTTATTTAATTTATTTTTATTGTCAATTTATGCTTTTTTTTTCCTAATGTTTATATATTTTTCCATCAATTCATTTAACAATTCTCGAAATTATAATTTGTAATAGAAATAAATGATAATCTAAACAATAAACAATTAATTAATTAATTAATTAGAATCAAACTACAGTTATCATGACTTATTTAGTTTATTTTATTGTCAATTTACTAATGTTTACATATTTTTCCACCAATTTATTTAGCAATTCTCGAATTATAATTTGTAATAGAAATAAATGATAATCTAAACAATAAACAACAATTAATTAATTAATTAGTTAGTTAATCATGATCGAATATGTTAGCTTAGCAAATAATTTGCATATGTTTTATTAATAAATATGTCATAATCAAACTTATTATCGTTTTATTATCATAGAAATTTTTTATCGTAGCAAATAATTCTAAATTTATTATCGTAGCAAATAATTTGCATATGTTTTATTAACAAACAAATAAATAAATAAATAAATCGTGATCAAATTTGTTAGCTTAGCAAATAATTTGCATATGTTTTATTGATAAATAAATAAATCATGATCAACTTTGTTAGCAAATAATTTGCATATGTCTTATTAATAAACAAATCATGATCAAACTTATTGTAGTTTTATTCTCGTAGCAATTTTTTATCGTAGTAAATAATTCTAAATTTATTGTAGCAAATAATTTGCATATGTTTTATTAATAAACAAACAAATAAATAAATAAATAAATGATGATCAAATTTATTAGCTTAGCAAATAATTTGCATAAGTCTTATTAATAAATAAATAAATAAATGATGATCAAATTTATTAGCTTGCAAATAATTTGCATATGTTTTATTAATAAATAAATAAATCATGATCAAGTTTGCAAATAATTTAAATTTATTATCGTAGCAAATAATTTGCATATGTTTTATTAATAAACAAATAAATAAATAAATAAATCATGATCAAATTTATTAGCTTAGCAAATAATTTGCATATGTTTTATTAATAAATAAATAAATCATGATCAAGTTTGCAAATAATTCTAAATTTATTATCGTAGCAAATAATTTGCATATGTTTTATTAATAAACAAATAAATAAATAAATAAATCATGATCAAATTTATTAGCTTAGCAAATAATTTGCATATGTTTTATTAATAAACAAATAAATAAATAAATCATGATCAAATTTATTAGCTCAGCAAATAATTTGCATATGTTTTATTAATAAATAAATAAACAAATAAATCACAATCAAATTTATTAGCTCAGCAAATAATTTGCATATGTTTTATTAATAAATAAATAAATAAATAAATCACAATCAAATTTATTAGCTTAGCAAATAATTTGCATATGTTTTATTAATAAATAAATAAATAAATGATGATCAAATTTTTGTTAGCTTAGCAAATAAGCTTATTTTAATAGTAAATTTTTAAAATTATTACTTACTTCTAAATGTTTTAATTCTGCTGGCATATAATCTTTAGCAATACGTATAGCATCTTGCCACATTTCTAATTCTTTATAACATCGTAAAATTATTTCAGGACGATTTGCCCGAAGTAAGCAACTTTCGGCACATGCAAAATTTTTGCTCAATTGCCATTCGAGCTTGTCGAATGTATACATCAGATAATGTTTCTGGACTATGCTTTTATAAATTATTTACTCAAAAAAAAAAATTTTTTAAAAAAAAAAAGAAAAAAATCTTTTTAAAATTTAGTTATTACTAAATTTATTGCTTGTGTAAATTTTTGCTATTAATTTAATCAAAATAGTACAAAATTGTGATATCATTTAGTATTTTCATAAGATCAATCAATATTTATGCTAATGCTATTATCAATTAAAAGCAAAATAGGTATTTGGTTTTAATTTTAAATAACTTTTGATTTTTCCTTTTTTTTTTTTATTCCAAAAAGTTTTATTTTTAAAATATACATAAATATTGATTGTTTACATTGTTTTAATTGATATTTAGAAAGTTAAACATACTTTTTACAAAGATTAATTATTATTAAATATTGATTGTTTAATAAACATACTTTTTACAAAGATTAATCATTATTAAATATTGATTGTTTACATTGTTTTAATCGATATTTAGAAAGTAAGCATATTTTTTACAAAGATTAATCATTATTAAATATTAATTGTTTACATTGTTTTAGTCGATATTTAAAAAGTAAACATACTTTTTGCAAAGATTAATTATTATTAAATATTGATTGTTACATGGTTTTAATTAATATTTAGAAAATAAACATACTTTTTGCAAAGATTAATTATTATTAAATATTGATTGTTTAGTAAACATACTTTTGCAAAGATTAATTATTATTAAATATTGATTGTTTACATTGTTTTAATTGATATTTAAAAAGTTAAACATACTTTGCAACTCGTTCAGCATTTTCCCAATCTTGATCATGAATATACATTAATATAGCTTCTTTAGGCTTACCACTTTCTATAAAATGCATTTCAGCTTTTTCAAATTCACCTTCCTCTTCCAATTGTTGTGCTAATTTGAAATGCACTGATGGTAAACGATTTTTTGCTTCCAAACGACACAAATCAAATGCAAAATCGAATGCTCTTAAAAAATATCTTAAATAAGCAATAAATTTTAAAAAGAATGAAAAAGAAGAAAAAAAAACTATTTTATAATAATTGAATGATTTTTATTATTGAAAATTTATTATTACCTATTTGTTTTTTAAATCATTTCTAGTCCAATTATTATTATTATTATTTTTTAATATTTATTAAACATACAAATATATTTAGCAAAAAAAAAAATACTTTTAATCTTATACTTACCCATTTTCGCATGCATAATCAATCGATTCATCTAGTAATTTAAATTTCTGCAATAATTTCACTGCTGCATCACTATTTAAACTTTTTGCCCACAAAAATGCAATCTAAAAAGTAATAATATAGATTAGATTATCATTCGTTATATTATTATTATTATTATCACTGCTACTATTATCATTATCACTACTACTGTTATTATTATCATTATTATTATTACTATTGTTGTTATTGTTACTATTATTATTATTATCACCACTATCATTATTATTATTATTATTATTATTATTATTATTATTATTATTATTATTATTATTATTATTATATATTATTATTTAATGATATATTATTATTATTATTATCATTATTACTACTATTTTTATTATTATTACTACTACTACTATTACTGTTATTATATTATTATTATTATTATTATTATCACTGCTATTTTCATCATTATTACTATTATTATCATTATTATTATCACTATTATTATCACTACTACTATTATATTATCATCCCTAACCATCATTCGAAGTATCTTATCTTAATTTTAATTTTAGAATAAACAGATAGAAACTACTACTACTACTACTACTACTACTACTACTACTACTACTACTACTACTACTTACTACTACTACTACTACTACTACTACTACTACTACTACTATACTACTACTACTACTACTACTACTACTATTACTACTACTACTACTACTACTACTACTACTACTACTATTATTATTATTATTATTATTACTATTATATTATCATCCCTAACCATCATTTGAAGTATCTTATCTTAATTTTAGAATAAATAGATAGAAAATACTACTACTACTACTATTATTACTATTATATTATCATCCCTAACCATCATTCGAAGTATCTTATCTTAATTTTAGAATAAATAGATAGAAAACTACTACTACTACTACTAAAAATATTACACACCTGTTTTTGTGCCATATCATCACCTTCCTGTTTAGCAATCCTATAAGCATCATTCCATATTTCAGCATTACGATACATATTAACTGCTTTTTTCCATTCATTAGCAAGTAAATAATGCTCTTCTGCTTCTCGTAAATTACCTTTTTCCTCCAAATCAATTGCCACTTGAAGATGAGTTTCCTAACAAAATACAATGCATATTGTTTACAAAACAATTATTTACATTTAATATAATATAATATTGATATTGATATATTGATATAATGATAATAATATTCTATTTGAAATAAAAAAAAAAAGAAAAAAAATATTATTGATAAATTCTGATTATCACTTTTCTTTCAATCCAGTTTCATTTCAATTGATAAAAATTTTACTATAACAAACTTTGACATTCTCGATATGATATTTTTCCATCAATCTTATCATATCATCAATTCGATCTGTTTTCTTATACATTGCAATAGCATTATTAACTTGTCCAATTGCAATATATAGCTAAATATGAAAAATATTATTGATAATTTAAAAATAATTATTGAAATTAAATTATAATAAAATAGATTAAGCATTGAAATTACAATTTATCACTAAATATTAATGATAATTTAAAAAATAATTATTGAAATTAAATTATAATAAAATAGATTAAGCATTGAAATTACAATTTATCACTAAATATTAATGATAATTTAAAAAATAATTATTCAATAATTACTCTTTTTTTCTTCTTTGAAATTAAATTATAAATAGATTAAGCATTGAAATTACAATTTATCACTAAATATTAATGATAATTTAAAAAATAATTATTCAGTAATTACTCTTTTTTTTTTCTTTCTTTTCAAAATTAAATTATAATAAAATAGATTAAGCATTGAAATTATAATTTATCACTAAATATTAATGATAAATTAAAAAATAATTATTCGGTAATTACTCTTTTTTTCTTCTTTGAAATTAAATTATAATAAAATAGATTAAGTATTGAAATTACAATTTATCACTAAATATTAATGATAATTTAAGAAATAATTATTCAATAATTACTTTTTTTTTTCTTCTTTTTTTTCAAAATTAAATTATAATAAAATAAATTGAAAAAAAAAAACAATCATTTAAAATTGCCACCTGCTCTGCATCCTTTAAACGACCACTATTTTCCATTGTTTGTGCTAATTCTTCATACATTTGATCACTCTCAACTCCCATAAATTCTGTAGCTAACTAAAATAATTTATTCAATTTGTTATAATTCTAAATTTATTTATTTATTTATTTTTTTTAAAAACTAAAAATAACCGATAAAGTTAGTTAGATGTAGAAATTTTTAAAATTAATTTAAATGAAAATTAGACTCTTTAGCGTTTTTTTTCCAATGCTTAAAAAAAAGTAAATAAAAAGCTTTTGAAATGGAGAAAATAAATTTTAAAATCTATTAAACAATCAAATGAATTAATGAAATATTTCATATACTTGATAAATTTAATGTTAATCTAAAATTGATGTTAACCTAAAATTACCCACAAAAACAATTAGCACTTACTTACCCGATATGAATCAGCCCATCGGGAAGCTTTATTATACATTTCGATTGCTTCTCGATGCATTTTTGCTTCAATGTATAACATTTCAGCTCGCTAAATTTTTTTTTTTTTTTTTTTTTTGATCATATTTCAACAATCTTTTTAATTTTTAATTTAATATTTTTGCTTCTTCTATTTTATTAAAAAGCATTTATAAGATTAATTTCATTTTTATTTGATCAATTTTTTAGACACTAACTTAAAATTATATTACACATAATAATCATAATAATTTGTCTTAATCTTATTTTGTTAAAGTAATCTATCTCAAGATCATCAATATTTGCATGATTATTCTCGACCTTTTTAAGATTAATTTCATTCTTTGATAAATTTTTAGAAATTACTCAAAATTATATACACATTTTAATAATCTTTTAAAGTAATCTATCTCAAGATCACCAATACTTGCATGATTATTCTCGACCTGTTCAAGATTAATTTCATTTTTATTTTATAGTCAGATAATTTAAAGTAATCTATCTCGAGATCATCAATACTTGCATGATTATTCTCGACCTTTTAAGATTAATTTCATTCTTTGATAAATTTTAGAAATTACTCAAAATTATATTACACATAATAATACCTTGTCTTGTTAAAGTAATCTATCTCAAGATCATCAATTTGCATGATTATTCTCGACCTATTCAAGATTAATTTCATTTTTATTTGATAACTTTTTTTTTTTATAAATTACTAATATAATGATCATAGTAATAATCTTATCATATCAGCCAGATAAATTAAAAAAGATTTACACATAATAGTCATAATAATCTTGTCTTGATCTTATTTTGTTAAAGTAACCAATCTCAAGATCAATACTTGCATGATTATTCTCGATCTTTTCAAGATTAATTTTATTTTATTTGTAACTTTTTTAGAAATTACTAATATAATGATCATAATAATAATCTTACCTTATTAGCCAGATAATTTAAAAAAAAAAATTAATCTACCTCAAGATCATCAATACTTGCATGATTATTCTCGATCTTCAAGATTAATTTCATTTTTATTTCATAGTCAGATAATTTAAAGTAATCTATCTCAAGATCATCAATACTTGCATGTTTATTCTCGACCTATTCAAGATTAATTTCATTTTTATTTGATAACTTTTTCTAGAAATTACTAATATAATGATCATAATAATAATCTTATCATATCAGCCAGATAATTTAAAAAAAAAAGATTAATTAATCTACCTCAAGATCACCAATACTTGCATGATGATCAGCAATTTTGCCATAGTATCGTTTTGCCAGTTCGCTATCTTCAATTACATCAACAATTTGTGCAGCTCTACTCCATTGTTTTGCTTTAATTGATGCTTCAAGTGCTTTTGTTTTTTCCACTTTCTGCAAATGGCATAAATTTAAATTTTAAAATTAAAATTAAACTCAAAACTAGAACATAGATAGATAGATTAATCTAATAATAATACAAACCAAGAAAATGATTTATTGCTGCATCATAATTTCCTTCTGCAATCAAATAATCACCCCAATCCTCTTCCAGTGAAATAACTTTTTCCGGAAAATGTATTCGTGCTAGCTAAAATATTTAACTGATTTGTGAAAAGAGAAATTTTTTGCATAAATAATAATTGAAAAAAAAAAAAAAATTTTTTTTTCATTAACATTAAATTGATTATAATTATTAACCTGAATAGCTTTTGCATAACTTTTCCTTTTTGATAATTTTCCAATGATTGTTCAAAAATTTTTATTGCTTCAAATAATTCACCAGCCTAAAAATTATCTTTCTTTTTTTTTTTTTTTTAAATTTTAAATAATATATAAATATATAAATATATTAGATTAAATTATTACAATAAAAAAAAAAAGAGACAAAAGAATTGAATAGCAAACTTTTTCAAATTGATCAGAGCCTAAAAAATTTTATAATTTCTAATTTTCCCTTTTTTTTTTTTTAAAAATTTCAAATAATATATAAATATATACAAATATATTAGATTAAATTATTATAATAAAAAAGAAAGAGACAAAAGAATTGAATAGCAAACTTTTTCAAATTGATCAGAGCCTAAAAATTTTATAATTTCTAATTTTCTTTTTTTTTTAAAAAATTTCAAATAATATATAAATATATACAAATATATTAGATTAAATTATTATAATAAAAAAAAAAAGAATTGAATAGCAAACTTTTCAAATTGATCAGAGCCTAAAAATTTTATATTTCTAATTTTCTTTTTTTTTTTAAAAAATTTCAAATAATATATAAATATATACAAATATATTAGATTAAATTATTATAATAAAAAAAGAATTGAATAGCAAACTTTTTCAAATTGATCAGAGCCTAAAAAATTTTATAATTTCTAATTTTCTTTTTTTTTTTTTTTTTTTAAAAAATTTCAAATAATATATAAACATATACAAATATATTAGATTAAATTATTATAATAAAAAAAAAAGAGACAAAAGAATTGAATAGCAAACTTTTTCAAATTGATCAGATTGTATCAATGCTGTAATAACATTTTGTACTAAATCATCTTTAAATAAAAGTTTTGAATTTTGCAAAAGGATACGAGCAGCTTGAATGACCAAACCAGCTTTCAAATATAATTCAATTGCAACAAGCAAATCACCATCACGTTCTGATATCTGAAATTAGCTACTTTTTAATTTAATTAAAATTTAATTTAAAAAAGAAAGAAAGAAAGAAAGCCATTATTGAAGGATTACAATGATTACACTTTTAGGTTTACAATGAATGATAAAAGTTCAATAATTCTAGAAAATTTTTTAAATGACTATTTATTATTATATTTATATGCGCTAATTTTTTAATTAAAATACGCCAAATTTTTAATTGTAAAAATGATCCGAAAAATGAGCTAAAAATTTAACTAAGATCACTTTTCGAGATGAAAATAAATTATATAGGTTGTAATAACATTACCAAAAAAAAAAATGATATATGGATGATAATTATGATAATAATTGTGATAAATTATGATAATATATAGATGATAAATGTGATAATAATTATGATAAACTATAATAATATGTAGATGGTGATTATGATGATAGTTATGATAATATAAGGTTGATAATTATGATAATAGTTATGGCAAACTATAATAATATGTAGATGATGATTATGATAATATGTAGATGATAATTATGATAATAATTGTGATAAACTATGATAATATGTAAATAATGATTAAGGAAACAATTATGACAATATAAGATAATTATGATAATAACTATGGTAGACTGTGATAATATGTAAATGATGATTATGACGATAATTATGATAATATAAGGATGATAATTATGATAATAATTATGGTAAACTATGATAATATGGAAATGATGATTATGATAAATTATGATAAACATTGATGTAAAGAACAGAATTAAAATTATTTTTTTTCTTTTTTATTTTTTGAATATTAGAAAAAAAAACAAACTTGTGCAGCTTTTCCATCCTGACCTGTATCAAATAAATAACGATAGTATCGTGCTTTAACAGTTTCCAAGTCTGGATGATTCTTGAAAAAAATTAAAAAAATAAATAATTATTGAATTTTTGAAATAGGTATAAATCTCGTAGAACATTTAATGATAAAAAAACATACTTGTGATTGAGCTAACTCAAATGCTTCATCCCATTTGCCAATTTGCTGATAAATTTCAATAATTTCATCTAATGCATTCTATAAATTAAATTGAACAAATTTAATTAGTAAAATAAAATTTTTAATTTACTTTAAAAGACTGTTAAATTTGTTTTCAATCAAAATTTGAATATAATAATTAATAATAATAATAATCAATTATTGATTATAATTATTATAAAACAATTCATAAAGTAGCTTAATTCTTTTTTTTTTTTTTTTGACAATAGGTATATTTGTTTCACCTGTTCGAGATAAATTCTTTCAGCTTCTCGAAAATCTTTATTCATAAGAGCTAGACGTGCTTGAACCTGAAAGGAAAAAATTTTGATTACTGCTAATGATTAATAACAAAAAGTAATACATATATGGAATCAGCCACTTATCAGTAACATGTGCTGTGATAAGGATCAACCACTCATCACTAATATGTTATGATAAGGATCAACCACTCATCACTAATATGTGCTATGATAAGGATAAACTACTTATCAGTGATATGTGCTATGATAAGGATCAACACTTATCAGTGATATGTGCCATGATAAGGATCAACCACTTATCAGTGATATGTGCTATGATAAGGATCAACCATTTATCAGTAATATGTGCTATGATAAGGATCAACCACTCATCACTAATATGTGCCATGATAAGGATCAACCACTTATCAGTGATATGTGCTATGGAAGGATCAACCACTTATCACTAATATGTGCTATGATAAGGATCAACCACTTATCAGTGATATGTGCTATGACAAGGATCTGTCGCGGATTTTAATATCGCGATCTAAAAATATGAGTTGCAAATTGTAGTAAAGATATCTACGTATTTCCGCAAATAATGCTTATACTTCGGACTCTTTGTTTCCAAATTTATGCTTCTACATATTGAAACAATTTACATCGTTCTTTGTTAGCAATCCTTACAATCATGAGGATATCTACATTGTTCTTTGTTAGCTATCATAATCATGCGGTTATCTAATAAGCTCTTTATTAGCAACTGGTGCCCATGCAAGCACCTCCTTTGTTTGGATCATTGTCTAACATCAATGTAGATTTTATAACCATACTATTGTCAATTAGATCAGTTTTAAAAATCATCCAATCCTCCGAATCAGTTTATTCAATTGTTGCCCAAATATTTAGCTGGCATCCAACACATCTCCCTGACATCAAACTTCTCCCGAATAACAATTTAACCAAATCATAAAGGTTTGTTTCCAAAACATTTTTTGCTTCCACTACAATTTTGTGCCACGAGCCGGGACATGTCCGACAGTATAAGAAAAGGAAGCGAATTATCGAAGTCGAGAACTCTAGAACTTCTTAAAGAAGCAAGTGAACTCGATCTGACCTCCCCGTCTCAAACACTATCACGAGGGGAACTTCAGCATCAATACGAAATTAAATTGCGAATCGTCAAGGAGAAGATCGCACATCTCGAATATTATGCTGGGTTACTCGAAACAGCTAATCAAAATTGGCTGGATAATATTCAGAGCTTGACAATAGCAACGAGGAGAAAGGAAGAGGAGACGAAATACGCCAATATGGTTGACGATCCACAAGGTATTTAAGTTTAATCACTAGAACAAGAGAAACTATTATTACCCTTAAAATACATACTGATGAATATTGCTCGGTACTACAACATTTAAAACAAGAAGAGGTCAAAGAATCATTTCCAAAGAATAGTATGATTCACACAAATCAAGCAGAAATAAAACTTCCTCAATTACCACTAATAACGTTTAGTGGGGATCCAAAATTGTGGAGGCAATTTTGGTGTAGTTTCAAGGCAGCAGTCCATGAGCAAAGCATCCCAGATATTCAAAAGTTAAACTATCTGATATCATGTCTTAAAGGAGATGCTTTGTTATCTGTAAGAGGTTATGATATAGCGCCAGAAAACTACGATGTTATAATAGGTTTACTAAAAGAGAAATATGGTAAACCTTTCCTTATAAAGAAATCACTCTACAACGAGTTGAATACCATCAAAAAAATGACCGAGAGTGGAAAGCAACCATAGAAGCCATGGAGAGAACATTTCGACAACTGGAAGCTATAGGTGAAAATTTAGAGCATTCAAGCATCGAAATTACAATTGAAAATAAACTACCAGCGTGGATAATTGATAAATTATACCAATTGAAAGAGGATTCGACGAGTTGGTCAGTTAAGGATATCCGGCAGTACCTGACAAAACTAGTTCTAAGAAATGAAGAAGTTGCTAGAAGTCAAGCAGACACAAGGGAGAAGAAAACAAACAAAAATAATGTTAGAGGCGAAACGTCAGCTTTCGCCACAATCAACCAAACAAAGGAGATAATACAATCAAATCAAAAAGGTTCCAGGAAAAATTTCTATAAATGGGAAAAGGAAACCATGCGTATTTTTGCAATAAGGACCACTGGAACAATGAATGTAACATCTATCCCACTCTCAAACTCCGGATGGAACGTTTGAGAGAAATCACTGCATGTTTCAAATGTTTACGAAAAGGACATGCAACAAGTGATTGTAAAAGGGAAACCTTTGTGTTTCCATTGTAAAAGTCCACACAATACAGCACTGTGTCCCAACAACTACAAGGAACTCACGCAAGCAGTGGATTCCAACAAAGAAAGGTTGTTCAGTCACAATCGCTAACTCCATTACCGAAAAAGGAAATCAATGGAAAAAGCGAACCTTACTGTTATGTAAGGAAATAAATAACCAATCCAAATCGCCCAAAAATCCAACAAAAGGCTTTAATTCTATTCGATATTGGTTCTCAATTATCGTTCATATCAAAGGATTTGGCTTATCGATTGAATCTACAAGAAACTAACGAGATGGAAATAAAATTGCTTCATTTGGTGATAAGACAAAAACGTGTATCTACTAAAACTGAAATCGGAGTAAAAATTGGAAATAAAGAAATAATCCGATTAGATGTAATAACAGTTAACCACTTGACGAATGAATTGCAAGTAGTTAATCTAAACAAAAAAGGAATTGATGATAGACAAACGAAATCAGTTTAGTAATTTCAAACAAATGGAAACAACCGGACATACTCATAGGTGCGGATCACTTCTTCAAGTTTATCCAGTTTGACCAAGCAGAGAACTTAAAATCAGGATTTTCATTGATCCATACAAAGGTTGGACCTATAATAGCTGGAAGTGGTATATAAATGAAATACACGACAGTATTTCAGAAACCACATCAGTAAGTCCGATTTCTCAAGTCAATGCCGTCAATATTCCAGACTTAGATCACTTTTGAAACTGGAATTAATGGGTATACAAGACAAAATAAACTCTGACAATGATGAAAAAGCATTGCAGCAATTTAAACAAACTATCACTAGGGACAAGGGAAGATATCAAGTTTGTTGGCCTTGGAAAGATTCAAAGAACAAACTAAGCGATAATTTCGGACTTTGCCTTGAAGATTAAAGTCGTTAATTAGGAGGCTTCAAATGAAACCTCAATTACTAAGTCGATACAATCAAACTATTGAAGAACAACTCAATTCCAATATAATTGAGAAAGTGTCATCGGAAATGAATGAAGTTGGTATTATTCATTATCTGCCTCATCACGAAGTAATAACACCAAATAAAACCACGACAAATCTGAGGATAGTTTATGATGCATCAGCTCATTGTAAAGGAATGAAAAGTTTAAATGATGTTTTATATCGGGGACCAATAACACTCCCTGATTTGGTTGGAGTTTTGCTACGTTTCCGTACAATGAAAAATGTAATAATAGCAGACGTAGAAAAGGCGTTCTTGCAAATAGAATTGCATCCAACAGATAGAAACTGCACTCGATTTCTTTGGTTGAAAGACATTCGAAGTCCAGTTAACGAAGAAAACGTTGTTACCGTTTCCAACGAGTTCCATTTGGAATTGTATCATCTCCATTTTTATTGTCCGCTACACTCATTATCATTTGGAAACTTGTAAAAGCAAAATCGCACTCGAGTTAAGGAAAATCTCTATGTCGATAACATTATAATACCAACCAAAGGAACCAACGAAGCTCTTTCCAATTATAAGGAAATTAAAATTATATTCAATGAAGCATCAATGAATGTACGGGAATTCTCTCTAACGACCAAGAATGAAAAACTTACAAGATCGAGCAGAGGTAAGTTCAATTAAAAATTCTAGGTCTCAATTGGTACCACAAACAAGATATCATTCAAGTAACGTTAAAACCATGGTTTGGTAAGAACTAAAAGAATTGTATTGCAATTCGTAGCCTCACAATATGACCCACTAGGATTCATAGTTCCTATACTGATAAGATTCAAATTGTTTCTCCAAACTTTGTGGAAAAAGAACCTTTCATGGGATCAAACTATAAGTGAGGAAGATGAAACCACGTGGAAATTACTCACGAACGAATGGCCAAAGAAACTAAAGGATCTACCAAGATTCACAACAAATTGTTCCAAGCAAGTACAATTTCATGTTTTTACTGACGCATCAACTGCTGCATACTCAGCAGCTTTATACATTCGAACTCAAGAAAGAGAAGTATTCTTAGTGTTTGCTAAATCCCGAATTGCCAATTAAAGGAATGTCAATACCTCGATTAGAATTACTGGCAATACTCATCGGAGTGAGAATGGTACAATTCGTATTAAAACAAAAGAGCTTGAGGACGTGATAACAATTTTATGGTCCGATTCTCAATGTGCGCTTCATTGGGTTCACAATAGTTCCCGTTTACTACCAACGTTCATACAAAATAGGTAGAAGAAATACGAAAGGCGAAAATCCATTTTAGATATATCCCAAGTGAACAAAACCCAGCTGATATAGCTACAAAAGGAATCTCTCCGAATAAACTAAAAGGATATGATCTTTGGTGGAAAGGACCAAAGTGGTTAACAGAAAACGAATCAAAATGGCCACAGTGGAAATACAATTACAATGAGGATTACCAGGATGAAGAAATTGTGGCCCACATCACAGAACCAATTATCATAAACAAACATTTCGGAATCTTAGATGCTAGTCGTTTTAGCAAATGGTCAAGATTAATAAGAACAACTGGTTGGGTTCTGAAATTCATAAGATTAACAATGAAAAGGGAAATTCCTTGGCTAAAGATGGCAACGAAAGAAAAGAATATATTGACAACACAGGATTACGAGTTGTCAGAAATTGTGCTATTCAAACAAGCACAGTCAGAAGGAGTTACCAAAGATGAAATAATCAAATGGAATTTGTTCTATGATAACGAACTATGGAGATACAAAAGCCGCGTAGTTAACTCTGAAATGAAAGAGAGTAACTTACACCCAATATATCTCCCGAGACACAACACCATAACTGAACTCATTCAGCAACGACATGAACAACTGTATCATGCTGGAATTGCTCATACACTCTCAAATCTGAGATCGACGATATGGATCCCAAAAGGTAGAACGGAAGTCAAACGAATCTTGAATAAGTGCATGAAGTGCAGACGCTGGACAACTAAACCATTCAAATTACCAACTATGGCTGATCTTCCAGCATCTCGGACCACAAGATCAAGACCCTTTGCGCGAGTAGGACTAGACTATTTAGGTCCTGTGAATATCAGGAGTGATAATGGGCTAACAAAAGATGGGTAGCACTATTCACATGTTTCACAACAAGAGCTGTACATCTAGAAGTAGTAGAAACTCTTTCAGCCGAAAGCTTTTTACATGTTTTCAGAAGATTTACAGCAAGACGAGGCTTTCCAGAATTAATCTTAAGCGACAACGCTGGTCAATTCCAGTTAATTTTTAAAATCATTGTGAAACAACAATTAAATGAATTCCTAGCGGAAAGGAAAATGATCTGGAAAATATAATACCAAAGGCGCCTTGGAACGGAGGAGTATATGAGCGACTTATTGGGTTAACAAAAGGGCAATGAAAAGAGCCATCGGCAGAAAGTTATTATGGGAACGGGAATTGATTACGCTAGTAGCGGAAGTGGAAAGTATTTTGAATACTCGACCACTAACTTACGTAAATTTTGATGATTGTATCATATTGCGTCCAATTGACTTTATACTACCGAATGCGCATCTAATCATGCCTGCTAAAAACAAGAATGAAATGGATGAATTTATCCCTCATAAATTGGATTCGAGAGAAAAACTCATTCAATACTGGTCAAATACACTAAAGGCCCTCGATGCCTTCTGGGAAATATGGAAAGAGGAATATTTAAATACTCTTAAAGAAGAGCAAAGGGAACACTCTTCTCCGAGAGATGTAGTAAAAAGAACTCCCCACGAGGGAGAGATTGTGTTACTAAATGAACCAGAAATTCCCGTGGCATGTGGAAACTAGCCAGAATAAGAGAAATCAAAACAGGAAAGGATGGAGAAGTGAGAAGTGTCTCGATAGAATTACCGAAAGGAAAAATACTCAACAGACCGGTGAATATGTTATACCCACTGGAAGTCAAAGGTGAGGAAATTGACCCTCAACCAACAATGTTTAACAAATCAGTGCAAATGTCAATGAACAAGAACCAATTGCTCTACGAACTAGAAGCGCTATAAGGCGAAGCAATCAACCAAAGCTGTCCAACGAACTAAAGCATTTAGCTCCTTCGGTCGGGAGTGTCGCGGATTTTAATATCGCGATCTAAAAATATGAGTTGCAAATTGTAGTAAAGATATCTACGTAATTTCCGCAAATAATGCTTATACTTCGGACTCTTTGTTTCCAAATTTATGCTTCTACATATTGAAACAATTTACATCGTTCTTTGTTAGCAATCCTTACAATCATGAGGATATCTACATTGTTCTTTGTTAGCTATCATAATCATGCGGTTATCTAATAAGCTCTTTATTAGCAACTGGTGCCCATGCAAGCACCTCCTCTCCTTTGTTTGGATCATTGTCTAACATCAATGTAGATTTTATAACCATACTATTGTCAATTAGATCAGTTTTAAAATCATCCAATCCTCCGAATCAGTTTATTCAATTGTTGCCCAAATATTTAGCTGGCATCCAACACATCTCCCTGACATCAAACTTCTCCCCCGAATAACAATTTAACCAAATCATAAAGGTTTGTTTCCAAAAACATTTTTTTGCTTCCACTACAGGATCAACCACTTATCAGTAATATGTGCTATGATAAGGATCAACCACTTATCAGTAATATAAAATATGATAGGATCAACCACTTATCACTAATATGTGCTATGATAAGGATCAACCATTTATCAGTGATATGTGCTATGACAGGGATCAACCACTTATCACTAATATGTGCTATGATAAGGATCAACCATTTATCACTAATATGTGCTGTGATAAGGATCAACCACTTATCAGTGATATGTGCTATGACAGGGATCAACCACTTATCACTAATATGTGCTATGATAAGGATCAACCACTTATCACTAATATGTGCTATGATAAGGATCAACCATTTATCAGTGATATGTGCTATGACAAGGATCAACCACTTATCACTAATATGCTATGATAAGGATCAACCATTTATCAGGAATATGTGCTGTGATAAGGATCAACCACTTATCAGTGATATGTGCTATGACAGGGATCAATCACTTATCACTAATATGTGCTATGATAAGGATCAACCACTTATCACTAATATGTGCTATGATAAGGATCAACCACTTATCACTAATATGTGCTATGATAAGGATCAACCACTTATCAGTGATATGTGCTATGACAGGATCAACCACTTATCACTAATATGTGCTATGATAAGGATCAATCACTTATCACTAATATGTGCTATGATAAGGATCAACCACTTATCACTAATATGTAAAATGATAAGGATCAACCACTTATCACTAATATGTGCTGTGATAAGGATCAACCACTCATCACTAATATGTGCTATGATAAGGATCAATCACTTATCAGTAATATGTGCTATGATAAATTTAAATAAAGAAAAAATAATACTTTATAATTATTTTTCCATCATCACCGGTATTTCTAGTTATTTCATCAGCAATTCGAATCATTTCCACAAGCATTTGCACTCGAGAAATATCACCCAATGCTGCGAAACATCGTTGTGCTATCAGTAATTGTTGTTGTGATAATGCAACCTATAAGAAATTATATTTTATCAAAAATCATTTCCAAAACTTTTTTAAAAAAAAAAAAAAAATCTTAAAATAGTTATATATTGGATTGATACAAATATGAAAAATATCATTTATTAAATATTATAATTTATGGTATAATTATATTTAATTTATGATAACTTTCAAAAATATTATCATTAAATTATATAATTTTTATCAAAATTTACTTTTATCATTAAATTATATTATAATTTCTATGGTAATTTTCTTAAAATTTTATCCATAATTTATAATTTGTGATAATTTTCTTAAAATATTTAATTAAATTATATATTATAATTTTTATCAATTTACTTTTATCATTAAATTATATTATAATTTATGGTAATTTTCTTAAAATATTATCCATAAATTATAATTTCTATGGTAATTTTCTTAAAATATTATCATTAAATTATATATTGTATTTTTATCATAATTTAATCATTAAATTATATTATAATTTCATGGTAATTTTCTTAAAATATTATCACTAAATTATATATTGTAATTTTATCATAATTTACTTTTATCATTAAATTATATTATAATTTCTATGGTAATTTTCTTAAAATATTATCCATAAATTATAATTTGTTTGGTAATTTTCTTAAAATATTATCATTAAATTATATATTGCAATTTTTATCATAATTATTTTTATCATTAAATTATATTATAATTTCTATGGTAATTTTCTTAAAATATTATCCATAAATTATAATTTGTTTGGTAATTTTCTTAAAATATTATCATTAAATTATATATTGCAATTTTTATCATAATTTACTTTTATCATTAAATTATATTATAATTTCTATGGTAATTTTCTTAAAATATTATCCATAAATTATAATTCTATGGTATTTTCTTAAAATATTATCACTAAATTATATATTCGAATTTTTCTCATAATTTACTTTTATCATTGAATTAAATTATAATTTATTGATAATTTACTTAATCAATGATAAGAAACCTGAGCAAGTTGACGCCATAGTACTGTTGTATCATATTCTTCTCCTTCTCGTTTCTCTAAAATCAATTGCTCGAGCAAAATCAAATCGATCAATAGCGGAAGCAAATTCAATAAGTGTTTGATCAAGTTCATAAGCAACTTTTTCATTTGCTTCCTATAAAATTCATTTTTAAAAGAGAAAAAAACATACAAAATAAAAGTTATTCAAATTTTTAAAAATTTTTTCATATAATTAAAAAGTTGAAAATATATAGTATTTATATTTAATTTCGTATTTACTTTCATATTACTTTTCGTATTTACTTTTGTATTTCAATTCCTGAAGCAATCTAATTTTGATCTGTTTGAAATTAGCATAAATTTGAGTTAATTTACAAGCAAACATTTTATCATTTAAATTTTAAATTTTCTTAAATTTTTTAAAATAGAATTTTTGATTTTAGATTAAATTATTTCTTGCAATATATTTCAAATTTATGTATGAATTTTTACTTTCATATTACTTTTATGCTTACTTTCGTATTTACTTTTGTATTTCAATTCCTGAAGCAATCTAATTTTGATCTGTTTGAAATTAGCATAAATTTGAGTTAATTTACAAGCAAACATTTTATCATTTAAATTTTAAATTTTCTTAAATTTTTTTAAAATAGAATTTTAGATTTTATTAAATTAACATTTGCAATATATTTCAAATTTATTTATGAATTTTCGTTTAATTTATCATAATTTATTTAGTGCTAATTGTTAGTGCTTTCTTAGAAACAATTCTTATTTCCATAAAATTAAAAAAAAAAAGAAAAATCAATTTTAAAACCATTCTTATTTTCTTTTTTCTGAAATGTTATTGCGTAGAAAAAAATTAGAAATAAACATAATTGTTTATTTCTAATTTTAATTTAAATATTTAAAAATTGCCAAACACATATGTTTTCTCTATATGATAATTTAAAAGGAAAAATTTTTATGAAAATTTTCTCATCTTTAAAAACTCTACTTTCTACTCTTCTCCCAGATAAAATTTTTAATAAAAAAAACTTTTGTTTTCTAGTAATTTTAAAAAATTTTACTTTCTACTCTTCTTCTTTCATTATTGTTTATTTTAATAAACAAAACAATAACAACAACAACAATAATAATAATTGTATTTAACCTCAACAATAACTTCAGTTCTAGATTCATCACGAAGAACAGTTTCAATTTCACCTTTTATAGGTATCATTACCATCTGCAAAATATAATCAAATTTTATTTCATTTTTTTAAATTTATTTACTTCTTATCTAATCAAATTAAAATAAAAAGTTATACGAGAAGAGAAGAAAGTTAAATATAAACAAATAAACAAAAAAAAAAAAAAGAAGAAACTTTTACTTCATTTATTTACTTCTTATCTAATCAAATTAAAATAAAGTTATACGAGAAGTGAAGAAAGTTAAATGTAAACAAATAAACAAATAAAACAAAAAAAAAAAAAGAAGAAAACTTTACTTCATCAGGATTTTCTGCTTGATACCAAATGCAAAGTTGATCAATCGATTGAGCTACAATAACATCACTAGGAACCCATTGAACATAACTACAATAATCCAACAATGATATCTTTCGATCACTTTTGATATCAGCTAGCAATAATCGAGATCTCTTATCACGAAACAATAATTTTGTTGCCATTTCACTAAGCTAAAAAAGAATTAATAAATTTATTTTAATTCAATCATCTTTCATTTTAAGGAAGGAATAGTGATAGCTTATGATTTTGATTATAAAATCATATTTAAGTTATACTTAAATTTGATAAATAAATGTGATAACTAGTAGTGATAATCGATGATATTGATCAACATGAAGATTTAGTAATTAAATTCAAATTATTTCATCAAACATTGATTGTGTTTTAATTCAATCATCTTTTGTTTCAAGGATGGAATGATGATAACTTATGATTTTGATTATAATTGATTACAAAATTATATTTAAGTCATACTTAAATTTGATAAATAAATGTAATAATTAGTAATGATCAGTTGATAATCAATGAAGATTTAGTAATTAAATTCAAATTATTTCATCGAACATTGATTGTGTTTTAATTCAATCATCTTTCATTTTAAGGAAGGAATAGTGATAGCCTATGATTTTGATTATAATTGATTATAAAATCATATTTAAGTTATATTTAAATTGATAAATAAATGTGATAACTAGTAGTGATAATCGATGAAATTGATCAACATGAAGATTTAGTAATAAATTCAAATTATTTCACTGAACATTGATTATGTTTTAATTCAATCATCTTCATTTCAAGGATGGAATGATGATAACTTATGATTTTGGTTATAATTGATTACAAAATCATATTTAAGTCATACTTAAATTTGATAAATAAATGTGATAACTAGTAGTGATGATCGATGATATTGATCAACATGAAGATTTAGTAATTGAATTCAAATTATTTCACCGAACATTGATTGTATTTTAGTTCAATCATCTTCATTTCAAGGGTGGAATGATGATAACTATGATTTTGATTATAATTGATTACAAAATCATATTTAAGTCATACTTAAATTTGATAAATAAATGTGATAACTAGTAGTGATGATCGATGATATTGATCAACATGAAGATTTAGTAATTGAATTCAAATTATTTCACCGAACATTGATTGTGTTTTAATTCAATCATCTTTGATTTCAAAGAAGGAATGATGATAGCTTATGATTTTGATTATAATTGATTACAAAATATATTTAAGTCATATTTAAATGATAAATAAATGTAATATTAGTGTATCAGTGATAATCGATGATATCGATCAATATGAAGATTTAATAATTAAATTTAAATTATTTCATCGAACATTGATTATGTTTTAATTCAATCATCTTTCATTTTAAGGAAGAATGATGATAACTTATGATTTTAATTATAATTGATTACAAAATTATATTTAAATCATACTTAAATTTGATAAATAAATGTAATAATTAATAATGATCAGTTGATAATCGATGAAATTGATCAACATGAAGATTTAATAATTGAATTTAAATTATTTCAACAAATGATAAATATATTAAAATATCTATAAAATATATTAAAATATCAATTTTATTTTGATAACAACAAAATGAAATGAATAAAATAAACCTCAAGCCAATCGATGTATACTGGATGCGTAAATTTGTGCAATCTGTCGTTGACTTATTAAATCAACTATAAAAACAAAAACAAAAAAAATATTAAAATTAGAAGGTGAAAAAAACGAAAAGAAAATAATAATTTAATTGTTTTACTCAAAATACATTTTATATATAGAATAAATTTAAATAAATAAATTTTATATAGAATAAAAATTTAAATAAATAAATTTAAACTCATATATATA